TTGCACCATGTGGAAATATGGCAAAACAAGTAGGTAAACCTTGTGAATTTGAGTTGGCCTGGAACGTGTCCTCATTTGGAAAGTGGTTGGACTGGAGTTTAACCTTTTCCTTATCTGTGTTAGAAAAAAAAAAAAAAGACCTAATAAACAAACGAAGGGTGAAAACAAGATTGCAGAGGACATTTTAGACTATTTGGAAGGATTAGATGTTTCAAGCATTTCAAATAGGTATTTATTCATCCAAGATTTTCACGCCTGGTGACCAGGGGTGTCTTCGCATCAGCTCTGCCTCCAACTAGTTGTGTGACCTTGGCCAAATTCTGTAACCTATCTCTGCCTGTCAAATGGGATTATGAAGGTTAAATAATGATCACATGAAAATGCTTAAAAAACTCTCTGCATAGACAAGCCTCATTTGATTTTCTTAACCAATGAGGTAGGAATTATTTTGCCCATTTTACAGGTGAGAAAATGGAGGCTCAGTGATTGCTCATGCAAGGTCACATATCTAATCAATATAGATTGGATAGAAGGATGCTAGGTCCCTGGAAGATCTAATATTCTGATTTCCTAAGTCTCAAGTTATGCAACTAGGGAGCAAAGAGTCGAGATCTCCTTTCTTCCTGTTTTTATGTTTCCTGGTCTGTGTTGGCCCACGGACACTCCGTATCAGGATTTCAGCTGCCAGATTGTAGAACAATTGGGAAAATCATCATAACAACCACAGCCCCCTAGAACCAGAGCAGTCTTTTTTATGACTAGATACTGTGGAACCAATAATGCATTTTATGATCTTAGAAATTCCAGTAGAATGGAAAGCCTATTTTCTCTCTTTGTGTTCTGCTTTGAAGCAAAAGGAAATAAAGATTTAAGTTGGCTTTGAACACCACGTAGATAGTGAATATTGTTGGCTCCGTAAAGTTTGCCCAGGGTTTTCGCCTTTGTAGGGAAGATGGGGAGTATAGACTAGGATTCATGACGTGTCTAGTCTGTGCCTGCTTCCTCCAGCTGCTGGGATGCTGGTCATGCTTGGTGAGCGGTGACCATGCTGGCTCCCGAGGGAGACTCCCCCTAAGCCATGAACTGAACTAGCTGTTTGCAACAAGCAAGGGCACAGTTTGGGGAAGAGGGCACCAGCACACTGGCTCTCTCTCTGGGTCCTAGTGCTTCCAACCATGGGGTGTCGAGGGGCACAGTCCTCACCCTGGGTATCAGGCAGGGCTGGGCACTGGTCAGATCGCAATGGCCCAAGCCTCCCTGCAGTAGGATGCCACATCCTCGTCTCACAAAAGTTTGCTGAGTTTAGCACACGGAATCCACGGCTGCAGGAAACCAGGACCTAATTCCACTCTCTTCATTCCCAGTGATGTGTTTCGGGTTCTGAAGAGCAGCCAGTGAGTGAGTCATCATTTTTCTGAAGACAGGGTATCTTGCTGACATGGTTCATCATTGATTCCTAGGCAGGCCTGAAAGTCAGGAGTTAACAATTCAGGAGCCAGCCTCCAAAGTGCCTGCACAGTGCCAGAATCGCCATGTGATCTCATTCACACTTCAGGAAGAGTCCTGTGATGTAGACATGACTTTTCCCTTTGAATAGAGGGAAGCTGAGGCTCAGGGCGGTTACTGAATTGCTCACATCCGTACCGTAGTAAGTGGTGGAATGGGACTTGGATTATGTTTGTTTGACTTCAAAGTCCATACAACAAAAAGTAGTTTTGCCAAGTACAGTAGGGATTGGCTGCGAGATCTTTGTGTATCAGTTGCTTAAAAGATGGAATTGTGTCATGCTCTTGCTCTGCATATAAAGACATATATCATGTGTATTTCATTTATCTATAAAAGGGAGTTTATTAAGGAGTATTGACTCATACGATCACAAGGTAAAGTCCCATGATTGGTCGTCTACAAGTTGAGGAGCAAGGAAGCCAGTGGTGGGTCAGCCCGAGTTCCCTAACCTCAAAAGTAGGGAAGCCGACAGTGCAACCTTCAGTCTGTGGACAAAGGCCAAGAGCTCCTGGCAAGCCACTGGTGTAAGTCCAAGAGTCCAAAAGCTGAAGAACCTGCAGTTTGATGTTTGAGGGCAGGAAGCATCAGCATCCAGCATGGGAGAATGATGCAGACCGGAAGACTCAGCAAGTCAAGTCCTTCATGTTTTCTGCCTGCTTTATTCTAGCCAAACTGGCAGCTTAGATTGTTAGACGGTGCCCACCCAGATTGAGGGTGGGTCTGCCTCTCCCAGTCCACTGACTCAAATGTTACTAATACCTCCTTTGGCAACACCGTCACAGACACACTCAAGAAAACTATTTTGCATCCTTCAATCCAATCAAGCTGACACTTAATATTAACCATCACATCACATGTTTATTATTATTTTTAAAACAAATGTTCTCAAACCTTTTCTCAGCTACTTAATGGAGATAGCTCTGAGATAAAGTACGAGACAGAGCAGAAGTTAGAAATAATGGAGACATTATAATCGGACAGAATCATATAATTTATATTCCAATTACTTTTCCTCAATCAACAGTAAAGGAGACCAGTCAGGAAGAGGGGACCGGGGTCTTTGGCCATGATGCTTTGTCCTGGACAGAGCAGTGTTTGAAAGGAAGTTGTCAGGATGAGGCTCTGCTGCCCAAGACCCAACTGAGACCATCATCAGTTATTCAATTACTCCTGAAGCCATTCATTAGAGTTAGATCATGCCTGGGGTCCTTCAGAAAGTAACAAGCAAGATTCTTTTGATATGCTTTCATAATTCCATGAAGAGAGAATTCTTTAAAAATGAAGGTAAAATCATGACTCTCAAATATAAAAATGAATACATGATAAATATTTTACTTAACTAATTAATGAGGAAACTGATAAGGGTGTTGTAACCAGTTCAAAGGAGAAGCCAAAACACACACACACACAAATTTATAAGAGTAAAGAAATGTTGCAATGAATGTACAAATGGCAAATGGATGCAAAAGTAGCTTTTTCTGCAGTGTGGGAGTGAAGCTGGTGGAACTTCTACAGGATAGGACAGAATTTGCATTTTGCATTGCTATTGTCTGCAATTTACAGAGTTGCAAAATACTTCAAGGGCAATGAAAGCTAGAATCTCATAACTCAGGGAGGCTGTGCTGTGTGTAGACAATGTGTCCTTTTCCATGGAAATACAAAATTTCCCCTTTATTTAGTATTGTTACAAAATGATGAAGTATTTAGCGACAGAATTCTGATGATAACAGGATAAGGTCCTTTCTGGAGGAAAAAGCTGTCTCTTGCCGCATTTTTACCTCCTGAGTGAAGACTCTGATCACTGAGAACTGGATTTCCAGGCTTGGTTTCTCCGTTTTTAGTCCCAGTAAGCAGGCAGATTATTTAATAGCTGGCACCTCAGTTTCCTCATTTTAAAATAGGAGTAGTAAAATTATTTGCCTCACAGGGCTTGCAGGGAGATTAAATGAGAAAAATATGAATTGTGCATACCATAGTGTGCAAGAAATACGTATCAGCTTATGAGTGTGGTTTTTTTTTATTACTGCAGTTTTTCGGCATGCTTTTTATTTCTCCCGTCCCTCACCTGCTCCTTCCCTTTCTTGTTTCCTGCCTATTTAACTGAAATAGTAAAGAATAGGAGACTTATTTACAATGTTTTAAAGTATAGATAGAGTCTATGCTTCCTGTTCTTGATTTTAAAACTAACTGCCTAAGTTGTTTTGTGTTCCTTTCTATTTAAAAAAGAAAGCAAGCTGGGTGTGGTGGCTCAGGAGTTTGAGACCTGCCTGGGCAGCACAGTGAGACCCTGTTTCTATAAAAACTTAAAAACAAAAACAAAAACAAAAAAAACCAGTGTGGCAGTGCACAGCTGTAGTCCCAGTTACTTGGGGGGCTGAGGTGGGAGGATGGCTTGAGTGCAGAAGGTCAAGAGTGCAGTAAGCTATGATCATGCCACTGCAGTCTAGCTTTATAGAACAAGATCCTGTCTCTATCTAAAAAAAGAAAAGAAAAAAAAACTAAAGAAAAGAAAAATAAAAAGCACCTTTACCCCCAATATTTGCTTTCTTGTTTTTGAGTAATTCTTATCACCTAACTTAGCCCAGCTAACCCTGAATTTAAACACGTGATTCATTTTCTCATGTTATATAATTAATCACCAGAGAAAACGCTTGAGAGAGTGGGAAAGACCCTCTTTGGGGTCTTCTCAGCCCAGCTGGGGATAGGAGGCCAAGGCCAGGAGGTAACACACTGGAGCCACATTGTCCAGAGCTCCTCAGTGAGCCTCTCCCCCATCTGCATACTCAGACCCCAGGGGCCGTGTCTACTGGCCAAAGAGTGTGTGAGCAGCATGTGCCCAGCACTAGAGAAAACTCCACTCAGCCCTGCCCAGAGGAGTTGGTACAAACATGCCTTTGCAAAGTTTATGTTTCACTTTTGGGTCTGATAGAGGGGGAGTTCTTCAACCTCAGAGGGGAATGCCTGGACGTCTAGGGTCAGGGTGCCTGATGGATTGACCCTATCAGCTCCACTTTCAATTCTGGCACCCCAAGAAACTTCCAGATGATTCGGGTGAAGATCCCAGGATCTCCCCCTTTGCTCAGCAGCCTGGATTCTTCGAGGAAAAAGAAAGCATTTGAGCAAGGGTTGGGGAAGAAACTTCACCTCTGGGCCAAGTTCAGGGATAGGAGGACAGAGCTGTAGTGGTGTCTAGGCTTTCTTTACATGTATGGCAACTGGAGTGACACCTGGAGATAGCCATCTTCACTCCACAGTTCCATTCCTATCACCAAATCTGTCAGGCTCTGCGGAGGACTCCTAGAGAGCAAAACATGCTTTCCACACGTTAGCAAACAGCATGATACGATCTCAGGGGTCAGCCAGGAACAGAACACAGGGAGATGCATACCGGGCTCCCTGCCTCCGGGACTATTTCTTTTTGCTACATATCATCTCTAAAGCAAAATTGCTTGTTTTAGCTCTTGATGAAAATGTCCCTTGTCCATTTTCCACAGGCAATGCATACACAAGAAGGAAATGGCAGGTTGTTCATATGTAGCAAGATCCACACTTGGCCAAACCTGGGGTCACAGAGATGGACATGGAATTGAGGGCAGAAGATCTGGGTTGGAGTCCAGCACTGCTTTAGGTAAGTCATAACCCTTATACGACGGGGAAAATGAAACCTGGGATGCCTACCTCACAAGGTCATAAGGATAAGAGATGACGCTGGGTGCGGTGGCTCATGCCTGTAATCCCAGCACTCTGGGAGGCTGATGCGCATGGATTACTTGAGGTCAGGAGTTTCGAGATCAGCCTGGCCAACATGGTGAAACCCTGTCTCTACCAAAAATACAAAAATAAGCTGGGTGTGGTGGCGTAGGCCTGTAATCCCAGCTACTCGGGAGGCTGAGGCAGGAGAATCACTTGAACCAGGGAGGTGGAGGTTGCAGTGAGCCGAGATTGGGCCACCGCATTCCAGCCCCGGGAACAGAGAGAGACTTTGTCTCAAAAAAAAAAAAAAAAAAGAAAGAAAGAAAATGTAGTAGAAGAAGAGATGGTAGATGCCCAAAAGTCCTTAAGCAATGAAAAGACCCAGGTGAAGCAGAAGCCGCAGGCTGGGATGAGTGGGTGGGTACATTGGTGGAGCAAAGAGATCTTGAGACTTGGGGACCCAGGAAGTTCTACTTTCTGGCATCAGACCGGAGTACACCTTCTTGTCCCAGATTCCCAGGGTGACCACCAACAGAGGGGCAGCTCTGGCTCCTGGCAGGGCGGGGCTCTCTGAAGTACCCACCTTCAGTGGGCTGTCTCACAGTAATTCCTTCAGGCTTTGGAGATGATGGTCAGGGCCAGCTGGGCTCTGGCAGCCTGCAAGTGAGCTGAGGGCTACTGCAATTAGGCAATTCCTGGGGACCTCACTGGTAAGCCCCGGAGGATCAAGCCTGGATGCTTTGTTATTGCGTAGGGGTTAATATAATGACCAAGTTCACCTTAGGCGTCTCTCTGATTGTCTTTGCTGGTCTCTCTTTCCTTCATTGCCCTGTCTGATTGAGGTCAGAGTCCTTGAATGACCCTCAAGGTTCCCCTACCCCACTCCCAGGAAAACCTCTGCTCTGGCCGGAGTTCTCCCTGGAGCCCATGCCGAGAGAGCCTGTGGCTCCTCTCACTTGCGTAAGTAGGTGAGATCCTCCAAACACTGCCTGTGGGTGGAAAAGAGAAGGTGTCAAGGGACTGAGCCCTGGGTGTTCCAACATTTAGAAGTCAAGGAGATGAGGAGGAACCTTTCTGCTTTAGCCAAATTACTTCTTCAGAATTGATTTTTGGCCAGGCGCGGTGGCTCACGCCTGTAATCCCAGCACTTTGGGAGGCTGAGGTGGGCGGATCACCTGAGGTTGGGAGTTCAGCACCAGCCTGACCAACATGGAGAAACCCTGTCTCTACTAAAAATACAAAAAAATTAGCCAGGTGTGATGGCGCATGCCTGTAATCCCAGCTACTCGGGAGGCTGAGGCAGGAGAATGGCTTGAACCTGGGAGGCGGAGGTTGCAGTGAGGCAGAGATCGCGCCATTGCACTCCAGCTTGGGCAGCAAGAGTGTGAAACTCGGTCTCAAAAAAAGAAAAAAAAAAAAGAAAAAAAGAATCAGTTCTTAGTGGTAACCTTTCTGGTAAAAGGACATGAGCAATATGGTTATAAATGAATGTATGGATAAATTTCCAGGCAGCTCCACCATCAATGGATATCAGCATTTGACATTTTTTTCTTGTTGTTCCATTAGAATATGTAAACCGGCGTCTCCAGACTGCTTCCCTTCACATTTCTTTGATTCCTGGCGAGAATTAACATTTCCCCACGATGTTTATCTACTAATTGCAAGTTCCTTATGGGAATTGTCCTGTTTTTGACCCATTTATCTTTTGGAATCTTGATATTTATTTTACAAATTTGAATTAGTTATTTGTGATAGATCTTAATTCTTTGTAATGTTTGATAGAAATATTTTCCCTGTTAAAAAATCTTTAGTAATGCTAATTTTTATAGTGCAATCATTTCAATTGCTTCAAAGCTGAGAAAGTTAAAATTCCCCCAGAGAGCTGATAAACTCTCTTTCCAATTGTCTGCAAGTTCTATCATAATTAGATTTTATATTTAAATCTTTAATCAACCAGAGCTTATTTTGTCGCATGTTTTATTTTAATGACTTTTCTATTATAAAATCAATAAATGTTTATTAGTGTAAAATAGGAAAATAAAGAAGAACAAAAAGAAAAACATAAATAGATCTGTGATTTCACATTTAGAGATAAGCACTGTTGACATTTTGATGTGGATATCCCCAAGTCATTTTTTCTATCTATACATTTATTTACAAAAATGCAACTGTAAACACACTGTACAAACTGTTTAAATACCTGTGTATTAACAACACATTAATGGCATATTTCAGGGGCATTAAATATTCTTTTAAAACATTATTTTACATAGCTACAGAGTACTGTTACACTCTATAGATGTACCATAATTGGCTTAATTCCCTATTGTTTTTTCATTAACTTTATTTAAGATCTCACTATTATGAACAATGCTACTATAAACATATGCATAAATCTTGGTCCCCATGTATGATTATTTTCTTTGTATAAATTATTTTTTTAGTAACTTAAAAAAATTTTAGATTCTGAGGGTACATGTGCAGGTTTGTCACATGGGTATATTGTGTGATGCTGAGGTTTGAGCTTCTAATGGTTCCATTGCCCAAGTAGTGAACACTGTACCCAATAGGTTTTTTTCAACCTTTGTCCCCCTCTCTTTCTCATCCCTTTTGGAATGCCACTGTCTATTATTTCCATCTTGATGTGCACGTGTACTCAATGTTTAGCTCCCACTTGTAAGTGAGAACATGCAGTGTTTATCTGTTGTTGTGTTAATTTGCTTAGGATAATGACCTTCAGCTGTAGCCATGTTGCTGCAAAGAATATGATTTTGTTCTTTTTCATGGCTGCATAGTACTCCTTAAAAATAATACTACACATCGTATATGTACCACATTTTCCTTTGTATAAATTTCTTAAAGTAGAATTGCTAAGGCAAAGGTTTTATATCTAGGTATCTATATCTATCTATATATTTTGCCTTTACATATATACTGCTACTTTAAGTAAATTTCTATCATTTTAAGTACTCATTAACAGTGAATGTACTCCTCTTCTGTCCTATCCTCCACCCTTGTTAACATTAGCTATTAACATTTTTGTAATTTTATGCTAAATTGATAAAGTAAAATAGTATGTGCATTTTTTTAATGTTTCTTTAAAACCAGTGGGTTGAAGTTGAATTTATCACCACTTCCATTTTTATTGCCTTTTTTCTTTCTTATCTGTTCATGGTATTTATATATTTTATGTACTTTACAGGTTTGTATATTTTTTATATGTTTTCAAAATTGGGGTGCTCACTTAAGAAATTATAATGAGTTCAAACACACACATGTGTACAATGCATAGTTTCGAATACCATCTACTTCCCAGCTCCATCACATCCTAACATTTTGTCATATTTGCTTCCTATTTTTGCTAAAAAGTAGAATGCTGTACCAGTATAACTGTGTGTCTCTTCTCAAGCCTGGTCTTATTTTTCCTGTCTCAGAGGCAACGTCACCCTGAGTTTGGTGTCTATCATTCTCATCTCTGTGTGTATGTGTTTGCAGCATATGTATGTAGCTATGAAATATATACGGTAGTTCCTCAGTGTCTGTGGGGGCTTGGTTCCAGGACCACCCACAGATGCTCAAGTCCCTGATACAAAATGGTGTAGTGTTTGCACATAACCTATGCACATTCTCTCATATGCTGTAAATCACCTCTAGATTACTTATAATACTTAATACAAAGCCTATACATCGCTTTGTTTGCCTGGTTTTAACATGGTACTCAGGATGTGGTGAATTCAAGTTTTGCCTTTTGGAACTTTGTGTAATTTCACCCCCAAATATTTTGCATCCTCGGTTGATTGAATCCATGGATGTGGAATCTCATGGATATAGAGGGCTGACTGTACCATTATTTTGCATGTTTTCAAACTTTTATACTCTACACATCTATCTGAAACTTGTTTTGTCACTCAGCAGTGTATTTTTGAGATTTATCTCTGTTGATAAAACAGCTACAAATGGTCCCATTGTATGAATGTATCAGAATTTGTTCACTGGGTTGATGGATACTTGTGTCGTTTAGTTTTTTCATTTTACTATTATAATATTGCAGTAGACATTGCATCATCCACAAGTGAAAGCTTCTAGAATTTACTCCTAGAAGTGAAATTGCTGGATTGTAAGATATACGTCCCGTCAGAGTTAGTGAGATGTTGACAATTTATTCTTCAAAATGGTTACTCCTGTGAACATGTCGTTGGCAAAATGTGAGTGTTCCTTCAATTTTTCCACCTCATCACCAACACTTGATAGTGTCAGATTATTTAATTTTCACCAGTTTGATGGATGTAAAATGGTATCTCATTGTTTTAATTTTAAACTTTCTGATTACTGGTGAGGTCGAACATTTTCTTATGTGCGTGATTGTTCGTTCAAATTTCTGTTGCTGAGAATAGCTTATTCATATATTTTGCCTGTATTTCTATTAGTTCATTGCAAATATCCTCCCAGTTTGCGTTTTGTCTTTCATATCGCCTGTAATGTCGTGTTTCACAGGGTTTACATTTTTGTTTAATGAGATTTATACAGTCTTTCCCTTCAGGAGTATCCTTAATGTCTTCATTTCTTCAATTTTCCTTTTTTTTTTTTTTGAGACGGAGTCTCGCTCTGTCGCCCATGCTGGAGTGCAATGGTGTGATCTCTGCTCACTGCAACCTCTGCCTCCTGGGTTCAAGTGATTCTCTTGCCACAGCCTCCTGAGCAGCTGGGATTACAGGCACACATCATCACACCCAACTCTTTTATATATATATATTTTTCAGTAGAGACGGGGTTTCACCATGTTGGTCAGGCTGGTCTCGAGCTCCTGACCTCGTGATCTGCCTGCCTCGGCCTCCCAAAGTGCTGGGATTACAGGCGTGAGCTACTGCGTCCAGCCCAAATAGTAATTCTTTTACAAAAGATACTCTGTGATTTGTTATAATCTTCTGGCATCAG